CTAAAACCTCAACTAGTCAAGTTAGAATAAGAACAAACTCAACACATAAACAGACTCAACATACTACCAACAACTAGAAACCCACGTGAGAATAGGATCGGCTCCCACGGGTAATCAACACAGGGGCCAACGACATAGACAAAAAAACAATACATAAAACACTTAGGTTGTGAGGTGAAAGTTGAAATATGGTTGAAGACTTCAATTCTGAAAATAATTAATTCTTCTATGATTGAAGACTTCAATTCATTAACAATAATTACATAAATTTTATAAATTATATAAGTATACATTTTATTTATAATATATATGTATATATATATATTGTTATATTTCCTACTATTTTTATGACATAAAAAGTAAAAGCATCAGAACTTAACAAATTTTCCTAAAAATATATGAAAAATAAAAACTATTTTTTTGTAATTTTAATATTTTTTAATTATATATTTTTTTTTGAAAACGAATTTCGAATCGAATCGAATATGTTCGAATATTCTAAACGAATCGAATAATAATCAAAAAATGAGTTCGTTAACGAATCGAATACGAATTCGAATCTTCGAATAATTTAACGAATCCGAATCGAATCTCTGAGTATTCGCTTTGATTCGATTCGTTTACAACCCTATGCACAAGGTCGACTACGTAGTAAAACACAATTACAGACTTACCCAAATAATAAGAAAGACAAATTCTTAATTTCATAATCACTCCAAAATTTTAGTTGCTACAGCTACCCGACTACTTCCCGACCGTCTCGACACGAGCCAAAAATCTTAAGCACACTACAAAATCTTCTTTAATTTACTACAACAAACTAGTAGTCTGCTAAAGTGTCTTTCTTGTAGAGACGACCGTATAACTCAGTAACCAACGATATTCCACTAAAATCAACAAAACACATATCACTGTTTCTTCTTTTACCTTCATAATTTATCACTAACTTATAATAAATACCATAATAATAAATGTGACACACTCCCACTCTTGTCGCATATAAACAATATATAAGGATCAATATACATGAGCGTGTATTCAATTAAAACTTTTATAAATGTTTAAAATTCGCTTTGTATGGTCTTCGTATTTGAAAGACTAGTGTAGATTGAATTTTTGGAGACTTTTAGAAAGACTTAATTGAAACTTTTAAAGACTTATAAATCCAAGTCTCAAAGTATTCAATTGAAACTTTTTCAGAGTCTTTTTAATTCACCTGAGTAGTATTCAATTGAGATTTTTAGAGACTTTTATAATTCTTTAAAAGTCTTAAATTATTCAATTGAAACTTAATTTCGAAGAGTCTCTTTAATTCACTTGAGGAGGAAAACTTAC